TCAAAGCCGTGCAATCACTGCAAATTCTGGAGCAAAGATTTATTGTATAACAGTACAAAACCAATGTGTACGTAGTAACAACTAGAAATTTGTGTGGTATATGCCACAGTCTAACAGTATGTTAGTTTAAACATTAACATAAACATAAACAAAGTTTAATAAAGTTTCACCAAAATTTAATAAAGTTTCACTTTGCCTTTTGGTGAGTCACAAGCTGTTTTGTGTTTTCCCTGATTCCCTTTGTGCGTTGTATATATTCCAACAGGTAATGTGAGACACATAATTGTTTGTCCTGAGGAAAAGCCTTTTAAAACAGTTTTAGAGTTAAGTCTTTCAGTAACAGTTCTTTGGCAATTTTAGACTGTTCATGTTCCATATATTTTGTTGGGTTGGTTGGGGAGGAATAATAGTTCCTTGCTTTTTGGTAAGACAATTGGCTGTTGGACAATCATGTTCATTGCTTTCGGCCACCATATCTGTGTTGGCCAATATGGGATCACTAGGATCCCTGAGGCTTGATGTTCTTGGACTTTCTGTAGCACTTGCATTATCACACTAAATGGTGGGAAAGCATAGAGAGCAAATTGAGTCCATGTCATGTGAAATACATTAATGGCAATTGCTTCAGGGTCTGGTCTAAATGCTACGATGGTTGATTCTGGAAACAAATAGATCAATGTCGGGGGTAAACCTGAGCATGTTGCATGCCAAGGTAAGTATGTCTTTGTTAACTAAGACACCATTCAGTCCCCCAATTGAAAGACCGAGGCTGAAAGTCTGCTTGACAGTTTTCAACCCCTGGTATGTGTGCCATTGTTATCCATATTTTCTGGCTTTCACACCACTGCCAAATTTGTTTTACCAGGTGATTTAATCTAGCACTACCTGTACATAGGCTGGTTCCCATTTCTCTAATGATGCTTTCAGCAGTGGTATTATCCACCATGATCATTGCATGGTTGCCACTTAGAATATGCTGAAAGGATTTAAGGGACAGAAAGACTGCTAGTGTTTCTAAGTAAATTATGTGTTCATAAGACTCAGTTTGGCCCCAGAGTCCACTAGTTGTTTTGTCACCCAGTGCACATCCCCATCTCAGTTCGAAGCATCTGATCTGTCTGTATGGTTATGTTAGGTTGCCCCCTATGCACTGGGTTGAATGCAGTGTCAATGTTATTTATCCACCACACAAGTTCTTCCTTGGCTTCAGCCGAGAGTGCACACTGGCATCAAACTTTCCTTTGTTATGTTTAAGTGCTGTATTATGTCAGCTTTAGAAAGTCTGTAATGTAGTGATCCCATTGCAACACCGCAACACCTGGGAAGTTTGAGATGAGCAAGCCTAATTACCCTAGCAACCTCACGGATAGTAGGGTATTCTTTCGTAAGGAGTTCCTTACATGTTTCTATGAGATTCAACTTCTTTCCAGGTGTTATAGTCACCTGCATAGTTTTGGAGTTCAGTGTGAAACCAAGATAGTCTAATTCATGAGTGGGGATGAAAACAGATTGGTCAGGGTGAGCTATAAACCCCAAGTTGTCTATGAGCTGTGTTGTGTCAATCACATTAGCTGCACAGTCATCATAGGTTTGACCTGTTCGTAATGAGTCATCAATGTAAAGGGAGGATTGGTGAGCCAATTTCCGGAGGTAAAAAAGTACTGGCTTCATTAGTTTTGTGAACTTGCATGGGCAACAGGCTACTAGGCCATTGGTGAAGCAAATAAACTGGTACAGTGAC